ATACGGCACATACGTTCTCCAATTTGTTCATTTTCCACTTCATTCGAAAGTTTGGCGATGATGTCGACAACAACGCAACCCTGTAAGAATGCAACACTTGTCTGTTTCAAGTATTGAATATTGTGCATAGCCCAAGTATTCTAGTGATATTGACGAGAGTTAAAAACCAAAACTAGAGAATAGACCTTGCAAAGCATTTGGCAAATCTGGGAATTGAACACCTTAATTCTCCATATTCTCATAACCAGAGCAAAATGCTCAAATGCAGAGTCATTAAATGTCCCATCCTCGAGAACTGTAGAAGCTTGGAGTGCCTCCAGAAGCTGTTGTGCCATTTGAACAAAAAGCTCATCTTTGGCCAGTGTATCACACTTATCAGTGATGATTGTATCCTACACAAATTAAAGTCGGGTATTAATGGAAGTCCAGTCCCGTGTGTCACTATAAACAGAGATGAAAGCTAAAACCATCACCACAATGCATTGGAATATTAAATACCGAAACAAAGGCAATAGTGTGTAGAAGAACAAAAAAACTAAATCAATTATAAAAAAATTAATCCCCTTGAAGGTGATTATCATCTATTTCCAATTAGATAACACATAAAACAAAAATATTTAAATAAGAGATAGAGAGAGAAAAGAAGAGAGATTGGCGTACCGAAAGAAATCTAAAGGCAAGGGAGGCATCCAGCAGCCCTGTAATGGCCGGTCTCTTGGCATTTTCCTTATGAGCAGCATGTGGGCTCACTTTTCTCTTATCTTCAAATCCAAAGCTATCAGGCATCTCCTCGTCGTACACAAATTATGGTTTATCGTCAAGGTTTTAAAAAACCCTACATTTGGATTGAGATATTTGAAAACATGATGATGATAGAAGTTTGAAGTAATCGATTTTAAATCCCTCAATCCAAACGTAGCCTTCACGTCAAACACAAATTCATCATCTAACCCGAGTCATTGACCGGAGGGCGGTTGAGTAGCCAAACATATTGTTGAGAGGTATCTAAATGATTTGATGACAAACAAATAACCCAACAAATACTAGAATTCATAAAAAGGGCAATGCTACATGTACAATTGTA